TTCTTGCAAAAATAAAGCCCACTTCCTCTGCAACAGGAGTTGAAGAGTTAGCAAAACCACTACAACGCTGGAGTATGCCAAAATCACAGGTCCAGGATGACCCATAACTGCCAGTGCATTATATTTAATCATACAAATAATTTATATTTGCTCTACATGCATTTGCTGCATTTATTACCTATACAAACTACCATGCTTACATGTGTACAATTACACGTGAACTGCTGCTTGTAGCAGAGGCCTGAAGAAGAGCACAGTGAATTGGTGCCAGTAGCTATCAGTCAATGCTCAGCAGAAGCTGCCAGGGCCATGAGAACAGGCTGGCCTGCCGCTGCAGTACTGCCGTGAGATGCTCAAAGGAGCCGTGGGCACACACATCACTTCGGGCACGCACCGGCTCAAACACCACAAGTTGTGACACAGTAACTTAGGATATTGGTCTGGGACACCAAGCAGAGATTAGTGATTCTGCTCAAGCTCCCATGAACAGCAAAACATTTGAGAGGCAAATGAATCAGTGGTCTCAGGACAGTTCTGTGAAACAACTCCATCCCGACAGCACTCTCAAAATGTGACTTGCCATAAAAACCTTGAATGCAAAACCTCTCCCTTCAGAGCTCACCACTTGCTTGTTCTAAGCATAAAAGATGTTGCTACACCCATAGATAGTAAAGCCAAACCCCATTTCTTTTAGTTATATATATGCCAAAGTCTGCAGGTCTCTCCATTTAAGCTTCTCCCAAGCAAGTACTTGCATAAAAATAGCAGAAGAGGACAGGGCCAATAAATCCAGGTAGGGATTTTGAAAGGCAAGTTACATACTCTGTTCCAACTGAATTTAGGAGGGACAACATTCCCCAAGATGTTGCAAGCTGTAGCCCTAAAATTTTAATAAAGACATAATAAAGGCAGTTTTAGAAAACATAAAATCTAAATCTTTTACACTATGTAGATTACATAGCACTTAGCAGTGAAGATGCTAAATGCACCACATAATTAAACACACATTTAAATATGGTGCACAATACAAAAATTGTGTACTTGATTCTTTCCATGGTCCAAGAGGAGAAATACGTGCAGGAATAGGTATATTCTGGCACAGAAATAGGAGACAAGCTAGGGATTTTATTGCTGGTATTGGCACTAAGAGCAATGACAAAGATGAATTCCAGGATTACTTTACATTTTGACCATTACTCTGGCTGTAAACTGGGTGTATATTTGTGACCATGCTTCCAAACATCAGGACAGAAAGGTACCTGCAAATGTTTACGCTTCCTAGCTGATGCTCTGAACTCCGAAACCTCAGGCAAAAGCTGTGCACAACTTGCTTTCCATCTACCTAATAAATTCCCAAACATTTAACAAGCTTACAAATAAATATCACAGTTAGCAGTTCCTGCAATTAACACAGTTGTAAACCTGATACATCATTTGTCGAACTACACGTGTTCAAATAGGCAATACACAGGGACTGCCCACAGAAAAGGCACACAAATATATGGTATTCAAACTATTTTAAATCATCAGGTAAGAGTTTAACATTGCTATGAAATTGCAATCTATTTTCCATTCAGAAAAAGTTTATGAGAATATTAAATAACAAGACACCACTCAAGACGATGAATTAGAATTAACTAGTCTAGTTTAAGAGTTCACAATTTTCAGAGTTATTTTCACATTTTTCTTGCATATTGGAAAGAATATGTGAGAAAGAAGTTTTTTCCTGTGAGGGTGGTGAGACACTGGCACAGGTTGCCCAGGGACGTGGTGGCTGCCCCAACCCTGGTGGTGTTCAAGGCCAGGCTGGATGAGGCCTTGAGCAACCTGATCTAGTGAGGAGGTGTCCCTGCCCATGGCAGGGGGTTGGGACTAGATGATCTGTGAGGTCCATTCCAACCCCTAAACTCAATGACTCTATGAATACCTATGCTGTCATTAGAGAAATACTGCAGCAGATAACAACACTCCTTAGCAATCAATCAGGGCTCAACTGCAGCCTTCAAGATAAAAGAAAGGGAGCACACAAGGTGCACCTTACCTAGTGTCACGTGGCAAAGCAATGCAAAATTGGGTTTGATTTCTATTGCCACACAATGGCCGTTTTTAGAAATCGCTTACAAATTAGCACTGTAGCTAAACCCTAAGGCAATAACTATAGCTGGCTTCGGAGTAAAAGAATTATGTTGATATTTATTTCTTCTAATGCATGCAGAGACATCCCAAGATGCCTTCAGATATTCAACAAGCTATAAAAAAATACATACTCACACTGAATACAGGAAGTGAAGCTGACTGTAAATTTTTCTTTAAATAATGAAGCACCACAGTGAAATGTAACCACAGCCTGCAATCTACTCTACTGGCCCACCTGCTTGCATGCAATCATGTAAATACTGTATTAAAATACCCAAAATACAATTACAGTTAGCTTCTAGACACTAAATCTCTTCCACCAATTGCTAGACAACATTAAAGCAGGAGGTAATTGGTTTACAGTGATTTATCCTGGGCCCCCACACTGCCTAAGTCCCAAATAACATCTCTTTTCTCCAAGATGGCTGTCAAGAGTACCAAGCCTGGAAATACCAAACGTAATTAAAAGCTTTCTTCAAAAGCACTTCACAGCACTGTAGCTCTCAATCAGCATTTTCTGACTAATCTACAGAGCAAAATATGGGACTTGCTCTGCTCACAAATCCTTGTTTTCTAACCAGTCACATCAGCGTTTTCTCAGTGCTCTCAGGCATTGTTTTCTGTGTAACTCCCTCTCAAAACCTGAAAACTCAAATTGTCCTTGGGGTAATTTTGGCTCCTGCTGGAATATTTACCATAGCAAAGGTACAGACTCAAGTTATTGAACATAAGAACAAGAAAAAGTGCTGTTAAGAGTCACTACACTAAACGGATTTAGGAGAGAGTATTATGATCAGGGTTTATGCAAAAGACATAAGGGAACACTAACTCAAGGTATGTACAGCAAAAATGCTCAGTTTTACACATTTCAATTACTGCAAACAGCACTGGTTGAATTCATAGGTTATGCAACACCATTTGAATGAAATTAATGTCATAAGTGCTGAACTTTTAAAATTAGTATCAATGAAAACTCTCAAAGTTATTTGAAATAAAAAAGTTGAAAAGAGCAGCAGAGACCATTAGCACAGACCAAGTTTCACACTGGGTATGCTCCATTCTAGTTTTACCAGACAGACAATGAGTATAAAGCTCTCCCTACAAGTGGAGAAAGGAGAACTAGCTTTGGCAGTGTTTCAACAAGGCACATGCAGAATAAGTGCAGTACATAACAGTAAATGGCAATGAACAAGATGTCCCCAGTCCTAATCTGTGCCACACTGAGCTCCCTCTCTGGAACACCAACCTGTGTGTGTGTTCCATGTGTTTGCAATGCTGCTTGAGGTTCCATCAAACACCCCAACATTAAGAACCAGAACACAGCTTCAGTTCAGGGACTGATACTTTTTTTTGCATGGTTCACTTGTGTGTTGGAACTTTCATGTAACAAACAGCCTGTAAGAACCCAACACATTTGCCATGTCTTTTCCCTCTTACACTTTCTTCCTTTTGCACATGTCATGTAAACTTTCCGCCTTTTAACTAGGCATGTGCTATAAAAAGCTTCCTGGCACCCCATGGAGTATAGAGATATTCTTACAGAAAAACTCAGCTCATTCAGACCTCAGTGAAGTGATTGTGAGCTTTATGCTTTTAAACAATCATGTAGCAATGCAACAAACCCAGGAAAACTCTTACCAAATCATAATCCACTTAGACTATCTTGTTATAGCATGCTCTGCTTCATACAGGGGGCAGGAGGTGGGGAGGGGGAGAAGAAAAAAGGTGGGGAAAAAAGAAAATAAAGCTTACTGAAATGACTCCTGACAAAGACCAAGTTCAGGAGGGCCACATTTTGACCGTGCTTCTTTTACTAGACATTACTGCTTCTTACTCTCCCCCACTCATGAGACACAATTCTTAAGTACCCATTGTCCAAAGGAGCTGCAGATAAAAAATGAGATGTTTTCTGTAGCATCTGTCTCCCAGTGTAACATTATATTTAGATTACACAATATTTGACTTGAGTTTTGCCGCTGTTTACTTACCTACTTGACTGTGGCCAATTAATTAAAAATGTAATCAATCATTATAATCAGAAAATAATTTAATTATCCTTATCAGCACTAATGATTATTTAAGATATGAATAGCTATTTTCATGTCAAGGAACAATCTAGCTTGAGCAATCCTGGGGAAAATCCAAGAGATGGAGCTAACTTTTTTACAGCTCTGTATTTAAGGCCATGCACTGGCACAACTGAAGTGAGTGCAGCATTAGCTCCCAGGACAATTCTCAACCAACACCTGCACATGCAGACACACCATTTCCCAGAAGAGGCCACGTTACACAGAGTTCATCAACACTTCTTTGCATTATACAGCCTAAATACTTTAACTCTCATGACTGAAGTACACCTGACTTGTAAAAGCAGCTACTGCAATGTACACAGGCCTATAATCAATGATGGCAATTTATACTGACACACCATTTACCACTAGGGCCGGAATGATAGATTTTTTGCAATTAAAAAAAATGAAGAATAAATGTAGAGTGATTTTTTTCCCATGCTGAAGCTTCATGGTAGGTGTAATTTATAGTACTGTAATACAAAAAGCACACAACCATTTATTTTTTAGTTCTACCTATTAGACTCCCATGATTCTCTGTAGTAATTTGTTGTGATTACTGGATATTGAAAATTATTTTTGGCCCAGTAAATATAAATAAAAGAAATAAAGATTTACCTTTCAAACAGAGCTGAGAGAAACTTGAACTTTAATTACAAATGTCGCCTAGAAGTAAAAATATATGCAGCCAGCATAACAAACAAACTTATTTTTGACCAAGTACTTGGGTTTACTTTCTCTGGCCATTTGCTACTGTATGTAAGTTGGCTACTGTATATAAAAATTGCAGTAAGATCAAATAACATACTTGACATCAAGTCTGTAGTTTTCCAAATCCTTCTTCAGGCTCATATTCTCAGCCTCAAGTTGCTGGATGTGAGTGTACACAGCTGGAACCACTCCACCATCTTCGACTGTTATTACACCTTTTTCTATGAGCTCATACCTAGTGAAAAAGAAACAGATACTTTATTCCACGTTTCCATTTTCCCACTTCACTGATGTCTCCCTTCCCATGCTAGCATGGACCTAAAAAGATATTTATCACATCACAGCATTTACCTTCTATGACCGTTAACAATTCACAGCAGTACTATCCCACCACTGTTCTACTTTACTGCTCTGCATTCTACAGTGTGTATTGCTCATAACAGACAAGACATGTACCGTATAACACAGTATTTCAAATTAAACAATTCTTCTTTCCCTGTCTTCTAAATAGCTTAAATAAAGAAACAAATATTCTTGTTCAAATAACATTTGTACACACTCACAGTCCTTTTCATCTCACATGCTCGAATACATGTAAGATGATTTTTTTGTTAGGACTCAAATAAGCTGCAGATAAGGAGGGTGAATGATTCTGAGCCATCTTCAACATGGAATACAGAGCTCACCTGGGGAAATTTTTTCATTCCTTCCTGTTTATTTATTTTCCCGCTCCTCAATTATATTTACCAATATTTACCTATTTCACCAGCCTCCCAGAAAACACGATTCCGTGACACACAAGCCTGAATGCTGCTTTAGATACTTGTCCAGACTAACTTGGATTTTCAGAACTAAAAGCACCTGAAGCAGCCTCTAACGCTAAGTAGCAACCTAGGAATCTCTATAGCCCTGGGAATAAAACCTCCTCACTCTGTCTCATATTTTAGGACTATCCATCCCTTCATAGTATGTCAATGAAAGCTAAGGATACACTACCAAGCAGTAAAAAAAAGACTCAGGCATTGACCTGATTCACAGAATGGTCTGAATTGGAAAGGACCTTGAACATGATCTAGTTCTGATCTCGCCATTCATTTTTGGCCTTTAATACAGAGCAGCTTAAAGCACCTGAATATTTTCTACAGACAAAGAGAGCAGCTATATTAGAAAGGATTCAGAAAAGCTAAAATTGACCAAAAATGCACTAATTGACCAAAAAGAAATGCTTCTGCAGAATCACACTTAAGTATGATTATAACCAATCAGTATTTGTCAAACTGTTTCAAAAGACATCAAGGTTCAAGTCTACAGATAAGAGGGTCAGATGCTTCTCTGCAAGCACATATTGCAGAGGTGATTCTAGAATCCAGTACATATATACACAAAATATCTATTTTTTTGTCTAATTCTTTCTTGGAAGACAGTAGACTGAGACCTTAACCATTACATCAGTTCAGCCTAAGTTCAGTGAAGATATAAATCATTTAAATCAGATAAAGACTACAGACCCACAAGCATCTTCCCTGCTGGGAAGATGTTCTGCGTAGGAACTCACTAGAAGGAGCAACATGAATATTATTTGCCAATTCAGGTGAAAAATACATTGAATCTGTGCATTACTTTGTTTCCAAGGAATAAAGTACAAAAAGAAGAGCAGTAAATAGAAATCAAAATATTAAATGCTATCTCCCTCACCTGGACACAAGCAGCAGATCTAAAACCTAAAGACAGTAAGCACAGCATTCCGAGATCAAAAATCATGCTGCAGAACCAGAAACCATTTCGAGAGAAAGGGATTCTGACTTGACAAGCAACCTTTACTTAATATCCTCTGAAAAACTTCAGAGGAAATGTCAGTAACTCTGTCCAAATGAATTCCTACGGTCAGCTGCTTATCTGCATTCCGTAGATACTTCTAGGAATGCTCATCCCTATGAATTAAGCTGTCACATTCACCATCAGTTTTGAAAAATCAAATGGAACATGTCCAAAGAAAAATTCATTCTATCATCACTTCATTTTCTTAAGCAAATTACAGTAGGCAAAGGCTTTAATACTAAGGAAGAAGCTTAGTTGTGTGTTCTTTCAAACAACCATGGACTGAAGCACAGGTACAATTCCAACCAGGAATATGGCACATAAAGGCACCTTTCATTGCACAAGATCACAACCCTACATACTTCTTTCCTTGCCAGAAAGATTTCTCCACTGAATGCCCTAACTACACTTCATGAAAACCATTGAATTTCTGCACAAAGGCACATCAGACGTGGATAATTGATGAACTTGACTCCAGCAGAGCTAAGAACACTGAAAGACAATACTCAATAAATACAATTAATACCAGCAAATTTACTACCCCCTTGTCTAAGAACACTACTAGAAATGAATGCTTTTGTGCATGTAGCAGAAATGGGAAAACCACACAACAAACTGCATTGTGAAATCTCATTATCTTTCATCAGCCTAGTCCTGCAAAGTTTGCACATCTCCTACACATCAAGCTGACTGCCAAACAGCTCTTGTTCTCACTTCTTTCCATTACAGATGGAAATTAAATTAGTTCCATGCACACACAGGTATTTCTCTTTCCAGAACAACTAAGTTATTATTCTTGAATTGCTACTTAAAATTAACCAAGAATCTTGAAATCCAAGGAACAGATGGTTAACTATGATTTTGTGATCAAAGCCCAGCACAGACTAACAATAATTAATTATTACTAAATGCATTACATTGTCACTCTTACAAACTTGAATTCAAAGGAATCAAGCTGCAGAGAGGCCCTGCAGGTAGCTCAGGATATTCCCTTACCAGGAAAAACTCACCTAGCATACTCCTCCAACTTATTATGGCACATAAATAGAAAATTTATATTATCATGTTATGCTTGTTGTACAGTCAAGAGAATAGGTATGTCCATATGGACTTTTACCAATCAAACTTCGGGTTACTTCACATGTGCCCCAAGACAGTTCTAATCCCAAACCAACCTGGTTTAGTGTGATGCTGTCCAGGAATGGATAACCCCCATTTCTCCCAGGATTTACAAGCTCAGAGCACCACACACATTAACACAATCATAGGATTTCCAGGCCAAGGAAGACAGAGCGGAGGAAATTAAGGTCTACCTGAAATAAACTGATTGCTTCTACTGTCTTCAGGGAGTTGTGAGATGGAGGGTCCCAAGCCATGTTCATTTTCTTCATTTTACAAAAAGGCTTTTTGTGGTAATGAGTCTACCTGTATGCTCAGAGAAAACCTATCAGCTTCGCTGCACGTGCTCTGCTGTGCACAGCCCAGGCAATCCCTGCCTGGCACCCACAAATCACACACAGCTTTTTACCTTGCTTGGTCAGGCAAGTTTATTCATAACTTTAACCACATCAAACAGAATAGAGCTTTCAAATCATATTTCTGTAATTAGTCTGCAGCTCTCCTTTAAAAACTCAGAAGCTGAACGGCCACCAAGTGCCTGGGCACACTTAGATAGGGATTACCAGCCCAGTGAGGGCACCAGCTAATCACAGCAGTGGCTCCATGCCTGTGTGTGAGCAGCAAATTATTCATCTGCTCATCAGACTGGCAACGTGCTGCCAGCAGCCCTGAGATCCCTGGGATTAGCAGGGAAACACTGGCAGATGTAGGAATTCAGTTGATCAGACTGTGCACTTCGTACTTGAAAGCTGTCAATCCAAACTCTTTAATAAACAACAAAAACACTATCAAGTCCTGTATAACAAAGGAATAGAAAATTTAATGGAAAATTTGGTAATCAAAAAATAATATAAGTTTCAAGCTCCTTAAAGTGCAATTGGAAGAAAAAAAAAATACCACGATGTGCAAAACAGTCTACAAAAGTGTAAAAAGGCCAAAATCACTACAAGTGTAGTGATACAAGTGATCCATAGAAAAATCATGGGTTTGGCTTAAAACACAACCAAATCACATTTTATAGAGCTGGACTGAATAACAATGTTTCCCCAAACTCTGAAATAAACGCAGATAATTTGGTCCAATTTAAGTGACCTTTAGATCTCAGACAGACAATAATTTCAAAGCAAGCCTTTTGATAAATTTCCTCTTCGTTAATTAATTTCTCATTTTAAATTCCATTAGTACTTGATCAGCACAACATGAGAGCGAGAGAGTCGTCCCAATACATAATGAGGAGCTCGAGTACACTAATCTGCTCTCACTTTCATTAATATTTTAAATTATCTATTTCCAACCAACATGAAACATTTTGGAATAAGGTATTAATGCAGAAAGTCTCAAAACACTAAGATTAGATACTGACGTGCTGAGCTCATTTGTAAGCTACTGAAGTTAAAAATATTACTTACAGAGAAAAAAATATATGTACAGCTAAGGATTTACAAGATAGGGCCTGCTCAGACCTGCACTTGCTCTGCTAAATATCAGTTTGAATTTTGCCATTGATATAAATTCAGAGTCTAAGTGCTTCAAAGAAAGCAGGAGCTTCATAAAAAGGTCACTGTTTATATCTGTCTGGTATTAATTATCTTTTAGTATAAAAACTGTTAAGCTTTAAGCTTAATGCTATTCATATCGGTTCTTTTGTTGGAAAAGAATACAGAACTGTAGTGCTCCTTCTCCAAATAAATCATTTAAGAGCATTGTTATGCTATCAAAAAAGGGATCATTATTAATTCCAGAGGCAATGCCTGATTGGTGAGCTCTACACGAGTAAGACCAGAGCCTTGCAAATGACAGCAATGATTCCCCATCAGAGAGTAGTTCTAAGAAAATTTAAAAGCTTCAGGGCTTTTGTAGAAAAAGAGAAGAGGCTTCTAACTTTTATAATTTTCAAATTATCCAATTTCAAAAGACCTTATTAAAAAAATACCTCTGAACTTCTTGTGTTTAAGACTGACTACAAGATAATTCAAGCAAGTGTTTCCACTTTTCAGAATTTTTCTAATGTAACCTGCAGATTCAAAGCGAATTTGTAACTCAAAGTTCAACACAAGTGTCAGCTTTGGCTCCCGAAGAGTTGAGCTCTCCTCTCAAGCTTTGCAGCATTCCACACACACCATTTAGACAAAGCTGCATGTTTAAACTTCTGCATAAAGCATAGACAAAAATGCCTGCAAATAAAACTATTAAAGCTTGTAAAAAGAAGCAACAGCTCAAGAGTTTACTCTTCTGATAACTGTATGAATTAAAGTTTTAAAAGGAAAACCAAACCAACCATATGCATGAACTGATGTACCAAAAATTATCAAGTATCAAATATTTTCACTCTTCTCAAAATAGAAGGCAGCTATGATGAATGCCCAAACCCACGCAATTCAGGTGCAAATACTCCAAACACTACAAACTATTCAGTTTTTAAGCAGACATCAGTGTTCTGGAACAAAAGAAAATAAAACCATGGAATTTCTCTGCACTGCTGAAACACCAATCATTTTGCGTTGGACTCATTTGATCCAATGATCATTTCTGCATTGTATCTGGTTTTAATTCTTGTTACTAGACAGTGGAGAGCAGAACGTACTTGAAAAAACAGAACTGAATTAATTTTTTTGTTCAAGGAGGTGGCTTAAAAAAGTCAGGTGAGTTACATCCTTACAAGGAGTATTTCTCTTCCCGAGTCACAAAAGAGGCCTCAGGTGACAACTTCAGTGTTCTGTATATCTAGAGCTTGGTGAAATGCAAACCACCCTTCAAAGGTACATGCTCAGGAACTCCCTGGAGACAACCTTCCTGAAAGTTATCCTTAAAACAGCTTGCATCCTCATTCTCACAATGAATATATTTGGTAAAACACTGCATATTTAAGAATGACTTATCCTCCTGCGAGTTTTCAGAAAACATATCCTGCAATAGCAAGAATATTTCAAGCATGAACATCTAATTCCCAATGTAACATGATCACTTAAATTATTTTACCATTCAGTTTGGAAGCAGTTAAGGGTTCTGGACATGCCCAGTCTGACCAGGAAGTTGCAGAAGAAGTCATCCACTGCTTCAGGTATTTCAGACACTGATTTCTTGGGAGTCAAAACAGACTGTGAACCCTGAAATTAAAATTTGGTAACTGTTATTAAACTTAGAGGGGAAATGCAATTACCACACTTTCTTTTTCTGAAGTCATCTACAGGCACAGATCTACTGGAGTACAGCTGAATATTTCCCTTGTCTTTATTGATCTGATGTGTAATCACTGATCCTTCTAATGTCAAGGTTTGTGAAAGGTTATAAAGAACTAACTCAAAAATCATCTTATTTAAGCAAGTACTCTGAACCTGACATAATCGGGTAGCGACTTCAAAGCCTTAAAACTGATGGATGATCTTCTGGCACTGACCAGAGACAAAATGTTAGCTCCCATACTCTGGCACCCTTCAGCAACCTGCAGATCTACTGATGAGAAAAATCACTACTCATCTACCAGAATATTTAGAAGCTCGTGGTGACAGTAAAATGGCTTATATTCTTTTTGCAATAATGCAGGCAATGGAGACAAAGAACTCCATCGCTATCACTAGATCTCTTAAGTCTCACAAAAATCATCTCTCCCTTTTCTCTCCACATCCATATGCAGACATTGAAGGAAGCTGCCAGACAACATTGCTACAAGTGTTAGCAGACCACAGATGGTACACCAAGGCTTCATGTGCAGCTCCTCGAGTGCCATCAAGACAGACAGCTATGCAGACAGGATCAGCTCATGGGTCAAGCACAGTTGCTAAAAGTAGAATCAAAACAAAACAGAGCAGTCCTACTAGAGTGGAAAAAGAAATGCCTTTCACAGCTTTCTCTTGCAAGGCAAATCTCTTCCCTTCACCCAACCCCACTCAGCCCACTCAGCACACAGCTTGGTATTTAGCTCTCCTAGAGAGATTTCAGAATGCAAGGAGGTATGAAAAAAAGGAAAACATGATCCAGTCTTAGAATTCTCCCCTGCAAAAAGCATTTAAAGGCAGCGAGATGACAGAGACTGCCACAACTCAGCAGCCAGAGGTGCCCTTCATTCATTCAGTCTTCAAATGGATTGCAGTGACTTGACTTACCTAACTATGAGGGTCTGTGCATTTGGGAACACCACATGAGCACAATGCTATGATGGACCTGCTCAACAGGTTACAAGGAAAAGCTAGTGCACACGGCTGCCTCTTGGAGAGAGGCTGGCACAACAAACAAGGGCTTGACAACTGCACTTAGCGTGCTCCTCAATGAAACTGATCCTCTGATAACATGTGCTACGCAAAAATACCACTGGAGAAAAGCAGAAGCAGCTTCCACATGTGCCTGCCTTTTCTTTGTTTCAGTACTGACAAAAGTGAAAAAAATTCTAGTGAGAGATTTATCATGGCATGCTAAAGGCTGAGACCGCAAATCATTTTCTCCACCCACATAAAGAAGAATCTGCAGGGCAGGGATTTCTGATAACTCCATTCATTTACGGCTTATTCATACCCTTAGTGGGAGCTCTATCACCACGACTGCATAAATTACCTGGAGATAAAGGCACTGCTTTTGATAAAATACAAACACTAGAAAAACCTCATAGCCATTTTGTGAAATGCAGAAAATGTCTTCAGTCCAAGCAACTTACCTAATATCAACATAAAAGATTGCACATGTACGACCGAGGCTGTGGAGCACTGCATTATGACTAATACAATATGCCAAGTACAATGTAATATTTAGCACATTTTCATTACCAGAGTTACAGTACATCAGACAGGTCTATTTTCTAATTGTGGTAATACAAGAACCAAAGGGAGTACATGGGCAGACATGCAGCTGCATCCCTTTCCCTGCTTTTTTCTTTCTCTCTTCTAAGTGAGGCAAATGTCTAATATTGTTGCTTGTAGTTTTCCAAACACATCTATTAAACCAGTCTTTGGAAGAAGTGACACAGCTTGACTCCCTTAATAAATGGAAATATGATAGGAGTTCATTTCACCCGTGCAGAAGAGAATTTATTAGCTAGATACTAACACTGAGAATAATTTCAGGAACCAAAGCTTGAGCAGGGAACAACACAGGGAGAAGTGAATGCAGTCTAACAGGCACTGCATTGAAACAGGACCTCAGGAAAGCAGAACTAAATTCCTACCTCTTCTACAGACTTTGTGAGTGGTATTAGCCCAACCACTCGCTTAAGTTTAATTGTAACCATGGAAGATTACCAATAGAAGGACCTAACACTCATTTTTTTGTATATATTTACCTATTTGGAAATGAGGAATACAATCAATTAACATGGTGCAAACAGACACCCTACAGCAGCTCTATAGACAGAAACACCTTATTAAAGGATTCTCACCCTGAAATAAAAAGAAATTAAACATTTGCTTTGTTCAATATTAAATATTTCTTGGTTTGAATTAAAATATTCACAACATTTTGGGTGTAAGGAATGCGACTATAGCCAGTAAAATAAATTAATTACTAAGAGCTTAACCTTAAGCTTAACCCTTAAGTGCTCAAGAACTTTCACCAAATAAATTCACAATTTCTCTGGAAAAACTTTCTAAATTGAAAAAGAACACAAAAAGGGAACTTAAGGAATTTTAACACCTTCAAAACACATTAAAAACCAAACATACCTAAAACCTAACATGAACAATCTTACTTCAGATTACCATTTAAGGTATTAAGAAGACAAAGATCCTGGAATGGAAGACTAACAGCTGTAACTACTGAAGGAAGTTTTTCAGCCAGCTGTCTTCTGTGTGTGTGGTTTTTCAGAACTTCTCTATCCTGTTCCTAGGTGCCTATCAGCTGAATATTTTCTTTCATGTGTAAAATATTTTTGCCCATGTTTAAAAATAACTGGTATTACTTTAAAATGTCTCAAAAGAAGAAACACGGGAGGGGGGAAGGAAGAAAAAAAAAAGGATGAGTTGTGCTTACAAAAGACAAATGATGACTGGAACAGGAAGAGCAGGCAGAATCATTGCTCTCCAAAGCATGCAGTGCCCAGCACAGCTGTATTTTGTACCAGCTGCCACTGCATCACCAGACATGGGAACTGATACTCAGAGATTAAAGCTCCATCACCCTCATCTCCCTGGTGGGATCCAAAGGAAAACATGAACTGTAACTGCTGAGGGAGTCTTACCAAACTCCATAAAGACCAGTAGGTTCTGTGCACACCTACAGAGATCCAGGGAAAAAAAAATACAAGCCTCAATATCCCCTGCAAAACACAGCTTAATGGTCCTACAAACCAGTTTTATTTGTTATAAAGAAGGTGAATAGCACCATCTTTCATTTGTTTGTTCTTCTTCATTTAGTAATTAGTGCTAATTACCTTGAAAGGAAGTTTGAAAATAAGCATTTTTCTTAGATTTTCCTGGTTCTACTTGACCTTTTCATGGAATGTAAAAGAAACTGTAGTGACTCGATTTAGAAACTGTGGATATTTTTAGTATCTACAGGTGAAAAACATCCACTATTTAATATTTCTGGCTGCACACTTGATCTGTGCCTTCTCTATCACATTTCTTCAACACAGATTCATATCTAGTACTGAAATGGAATCTTTTCTCTGGGATTATGTATACAAGTCACTGTGAACAGCAAATAAACCCAACCACTTAAAACTATCGGAGTAGCTATGCCAGGATATGGTTATTACTAATTAAACCTGTTTCAGCCAAGATTACAAGCTAATAATTGCAAAAAATGCAGAAATTATCATGTGAAGAAGACAGTCTTCTACTCTGCTTCTTAGCTCAAAGTTTGGATGCTGATTCTATATGAATTCACAGGAAACAGTGCTCCTAACTCAGGTCACCAAAAGCATTTGCTGCAGCACTTGGTTTTTCCAGTGAATTAATATCAAACCACCTAGTCACTGAGCCTCACAAAATATACAGTAAATCATTATGAAAGCTGTCAAGGAACTAGCAAGTGTATTAAAACATTTTTCTATTCATGTCTTTCTGTCCAGAGGCTGAAAATATCATTTCAGTTTCCAAATTCTGGAAAAAATGAGGCCTCCAAATAACAAGTCAAGCAACAAGAAGTCATACATCTATCAGCGTAAGTTCAAAATGAAAGAGTGAGTTTAACCACACATGTTCTTCATCGGTTTGAAGGAAAGGCAACAGTTTCTTCAGTTTAATTAAGTGAGATAGACATTAATATACTGTTTCCTACCACTCAAAGTTCAACAAATCAATGAGGAGGTAAAAGATGATTTCAACATAGCACTGTCAAAAGATCAATAGGTTAAAAATATTCTTCCTTATTTTGGTTTTATCTGAATGTCAACACACAGAGTAAAACAATCACAACCTGAGTTATCCCCCTAAAGAACATGAAGAATTTCCACTACTTGGATAACATTAAATATGTTCAGTCCCAAAAACGTCTGCCATCTTTCCCTTAATTTTCAGGCAGATCGAGTTTCAATACACATAAAATTCAGCTATTGTCAGTTTCCATCCGAAGTTTTATCTGAAACACAGAACTGAACTGCTGATATGCACTAGTGCAGAAGGAAATGCACATTTCCCTTGATTTTGATGTTAAGGATCTTTCACATCATTTTATCTTTTCACTATTAATCATTTCCTTTTGCAAAACAAAGACTAGGACGGCACCTTTCTGATGGGCCTACAAGATAGTGGTGATATCAAACACAGCAGGAAAAAACACTTTTCCATTAGATTGTTATAAGCAAGTAAAGCCAGGGAAATCATATTTTGGAAAATACAGCAATCCCATTGCCTAACTCTAAACTACTACACGACTGCTTTGAAATCAAACTGTAAATGTAAGGCATGCCAAGGCTAATGGTGTGAAATGATTGATCATTTAACTAACATTTTGATTTAACACAGTTTAACAGTCCATTCTTTATTTTCAATGTATGAATAATCTTTTTTAGCAAAGTATTCAAGTACAAGCTTCTGAGTTGTACAAGTAGTTTCTCTCCTGTGTCAGGGATCACATTCCCATTCAATCTACTCCGATGAAATCCAAACTCTAAAATACTGATGCATCGTAATAACATATTTTAAGTAAACTCTCTATATATTTGCTACATGCATTTGCAGTATCAGATTGTTTATGGCACATAAAATGAGCACAAATTAAAGAAGACCAAACCCACAAAACTTAAGTTGCCTCTTCCACTGTGGCATGTGTTTACTCCTAGAAACTTCTAAGAAAATAAGAAAAAACTCTTCCCACACAAATATTTCATAATTAATATAAATTATGGTGTCTAAATTTCAAGCCACTGATGCCAACTGAACTAGAAACTCTAAGAAAGTTTTGGAAGTTCTTACTAAGATTTGGGCATCTTCAGCCTGCTCTTGAAGAGTCTGCAGAGCCGTGGGCAGATCCTCATCTTCCTGAAGACTAAAATCATCATCTGCTGAAACCTGAAGGAAATTATGTGAAGTTTGATATTAATGTATTTTATAGATCTTTCCTTCGAAACGTAACAGTTCCCACTCCCAGTACAATTTCTGAAAATGAACCCTTACTTCTTAAAATACTATCTTGCCATATTTAAAAAGGTTTTAGAATATTGAAATAATCATTACAAATATGCTGAAATATTTAAATAGAAATACCTGTATCTTTTAAAAAGTATTTCATCTTCAAATATAAGTAATACATAACAGATCAACTGACACTGAATCTTCTCTTGACAAAATGACATGTCTAGCATCATCACACTTCATAGAAGGAGATTTGTGTCATTTCTCCTAGGAAGTTTTAGTGACTGATGAAGTAAAACAAAAGAATGAAACATGAATACTCTACTACATATATCAGAAGAATATAAATTTATAAGTACCTCTTCATACTGATAATCATCTGTAGAGTCATCTGTTATGGTAACGCCTGCAGATGTTGTTAAGTCTGAAACAGCTGACACATGTGATGAGTTCCAGCTCAGACAAGAAGTATCATAAAACAACCATCTATAAATCTGTTACCACCACCTTCACCCTTGTGCTTTTTGACACAAGACTTGGAACTTTCAAGGCTTCTTTCAGCCTTGAGGTGGACAAGACCAGCTCCGGCAAAAACCATGTGCAAGGAGACAGGATTTAAGGTTTTACAGGAGGTTTGAACACCATTAAAATCTGATTCAGATCTCTCAGAGTTAAAAGCCAAATTAAAATAGCGTAACTCCAAATTAAAGAGCAGCTGAATTATGCTCTCACCCAATCATCAGTTCTCAGAGAGGACTTGCTGCACTGGGACTTGCACAGGCTTTGTGCCTCTAAGAATAACTAGCTTCATGATTTCAGAGAACAGCATTTGTTAGCAAATTCACGTGTATGAGTTCAAGCACAAACAACACCTGAGATCAAACACTGAACACTAGAGGACCATTTACCAGAGCTGATACAAACACCTTAATAATCACAACACAGCTACAATAACAAGATAAGTCACTTGCAAAACGTAAAAATTCATTTGGAAATTATCTACAGTTCCTTCAAATGCTTTGGAGTCAAATTTTCATTAAAAATAACTACAAATAGTCTAAAGTGAAACCCAAATAAACATCTTTTCATCCACTAGCCTCACAGCCCATGAAAGTATAATGAAAGACACTGTTTATAGTTTCCCTAGGAAATCAGTTAGCCTACAAGTGACCCATGTAAATAAACCAGGAATTAACTTCCAAGGAAAGAAAAGCTGGCAATTCAGTACTTCACACAAAGAAAGCAAAAAAATAAAGATAGATGATTTACCATCTTTGCATCAAGTTGCCCAAATCTGAATTACCCTAAAGGAGCACTGAAGTGGCCTTTTGCTGCAGTTCTCACAGAACAAGATGTATAACAAAGTACCATTCACATTCAAGACTCAACATCGCAGCATCAGAAAAACTAGCAGTTGAATTGGAACCCTCTGGAAGGCCAGCAGCTAAGACCATGACCCAAGAAAGGATAATCATCACTTGGATTTTAGGAGTTTAAGATTGAAAAAAATGGAGACATATCTTTTTTCTTGTAAACAAGAAAAAAAATCAGCCCACAAATAGAAAGTTATAGGAATCAACTCAAAGCACATCTGTATACTTCCAGTTGCACGTTAGTACTCCATGCTTACTGAAAAAAGTGCTAAATAGCAAACTGCCACAAACAGTTCTTAAGATCTCCTGTCTAGGCTTAGTACGTGAAAGCAAATGCTTGTAATAGATGTGCCCCCAAATTTACTTCCTGAATTTCTCCATCACAGTGCAGATATGGAACACAGGGCTTGAACTCAGGTCACTACTTCTCTGCATGTGACATGTCACTCTCTGCAGCAGCTTCATTTCCCAGCTTGACTGATTTTGGAATATTTAATTCTAAAACCTGAACTATGCAAGAACTCATCTCCAAAACATGTTTATTGTGCTTGCTTCATAAGGGGAGAATCAAAGGAAGGAATCCCCAAACTACCAGACCCAACAAACCTAAGGCTGTTCTCTATCATACCTTAGAAAATCTGCATTAATTCTTCTGAATTTAATGGGGAGGCAAAGTCTTAGTGCAGCTCAACAAATGCATCTTGTCTCAGGTGGAACTGCAGAATCACATGTCAGTCTACCAAGGCAAGCAGAGAGCGCCCTGATGAACCAGCTCACACTGAGACGTGACTTTGAAGTGCTGACCCAAGAGAGAGGACAATGCTTAGGACTCAGGACAGCTCCCAGCTCCCTACCTGCTTCCCAGGCATAAGGGAACTGCAGCAAGGGGACAGCACAGAGGGAATAGGTTTCCTGTATTTGAAAAAGCAAGAAGGATGCTTGCAGAAGGTGTGTCAAGATAAAGGACACACAATACTGACTGACTAGTTGGGGTAATGCTATAGAAAGCCCTTTTTTTATTTGATTAAGATACCCCAGCACTACCTTGTCAACTACATAGTCTGTCAAGAACAAGACTGGA